GTCGTATCAACCTGCGGGAGAGAGCGACTCAGGTAAGTAGCGTCTGAGTGGGAAGCTCCATCCCGCCTTCCAATACCCCGGACGTCAGTTGACCTAAGAATCAGCTTGTGCATCCCGATTTTAGTTGTGAAAACAGTGACGTAAGAAACTCTGTCTGAAGTGATCTAAGTGTGAAAAACACGCTGGCAGCCTGCAGGCAGGTCCTAGTGAAACTACCGAACACCTGACGTGCGCTTTGAAGTTCTCTTGCTCCCTTTCTAACCTTTTCAGGTAAGATAAAGAGAAGTGCGTACCGATCAGTATACACATTATTGGGGGCGCCACCTTCTCCCCCTTTACCAGCTTGTAACAAAAACAAGGCCACGAGCATTTGACACGTCGAAACAGAAACAGACAGTGGGAAGTTAATACAATGGAAGGACGAGCGGAGCGTGTCTTCTCTGATTGCCAGCAAGCAGAAGTTTATTAGAATTATAGCTGCGTCTCCTCGTTGATAAAAAAAAAAAAACAAAAGAGGATTCTGCAGTGCACGGTGAATGGAGGAAAGGTTCCCTTATCAGACGTTTGATTCTAATGCATTAACTGGTTTTACCTTGACTATTTTGCTGACACCTGTCACTCATGGGGAGCCTGTGGAGGTGTTGGTTTGTTGTGAAACATCAGATAGAGAGTTTGATTTTGTTAGAGCAGAGATTTTAACCGAACCAGAGTTTCGGGTTGATTGTGTAGAACTGTGTGAAGGCTTAGCCCCAGTTCTGGCCCAGCATGGTCATTTAGAAGAGTGAGAATTTCCACAGTAAATGTTGGTGTGCCATAATATTTTGTTTCAGTGAAAACCGAGAGAATTTATGGCAAAATTCACGTTATTTTCCTTGGCTGCCTAGAAGAAGAGTTGATGATTGGGGAGGCTTAGTTTCCCCTGTGGATGACAGAGTATGATAGAGTATAAGATTGGAAATAGGTTCTAAAACGGAATGCGCCTTCGGATCAGGCCGTTGGAGCTGATTGGATTTATAGACCTACATTGCTTAGATCTCCCTCGCCGCTCCACCCAGCGTGTAATTACATGTGGTTGGTTTAGTCACGGCATTCCGCTCCGGTGTGTTGTTGTAAGACAACAAAACATAACTAGTGTGATGGTTTGGTATCGGAAAGGGTTTTTGTGAAACTCAGAAACCAGTCTTTGACTTTTACTTCATCTTCTATCAAAGTCACACTGGGAAGCATATATTCACTAGTTACTGTAATGCTGTTGTACTTCTCCCCTGCATGGACTCATGTCCATTTCCATTGCAGACTAGCGTAACCATGACTTTCGTACACTCTGTAGTGTTTTTGAGTCTCATGTCAATTGTCTAAGATAATTGTTTAAATCTGAGCGTAGCTGCTCGAACTTTACTGCGGAAAAAATGAGAGGAAATCTTGATTTCATCTGATTGTTGGTACCGGTTTTCATAAATCTGGATTTTTTACATCCTAATCGTATTGAGACTTTTCTGCTAGACAGTTGTCTGTTTTCTACGCTGTGATCTTAGGTTGCTTAAAGACTGGGCTAAGTTTGGCAGTTGATGAAAATGTATTGAAAACCATTTGTTGTTTTATCAAAAAGCACCATTCACCTCCAAGCAATATTGTTTCAGCTTAAAGCTACTGGCCGTTATGCTTCGGCACCATCGGACCCTACTTCCCCCTTTTTACCTTCCCCTCTAAACAGGTCGAGAAGAAACACGCACTTAGGGCCTCTTTAAGAATATTAAATAGAATATTATACAGTTGTATCTCTTGCTCTTTGGATTGATTTTGTTTTATAAAAAGAGACCTCAATTGCGTGGTCCTTGCTCCTCGAACCCGGCGCAAAATTTGTTTTCTGGATGTTTGACTATTATAGATATAACAAGAAGAACAGAGAAAGAAGAGAAAATTGCGTTTCTAACGTTGTGGCCAGGCTGTCTAAGCTATCCCCTGAAATACTACAACTGCCGCCCAAGTTTATGACCCAAGGCCTCGAGCCCGCACGCTCCCTTTTTACTGAGGTAAATCACCTCTAGTCAGGGATCGTCTACAAGTGGTTTTGCCATTAGATAGAGCATTATAAAAACTGTGCTTCCATTAGTGGAAGTAAGCTACAAAAAGATATTGCTGCGTGAACTGTGGAGTTCTCCTGGTGAACAAACCCTCTCCTGTCTGAGTACATTCTCTGATAAACATTACATTTAATCACCAAAAACTCCTTATAGAACGTTTACCACAAGCCGGGTGTTATGTTCCGGATATCGACCTCAGTACAGCGCTGAATAATATGGTGGCTAGTTTGAGAATTTTACTGATTTAACGCCAAATTGCTATAAGGTTTACCTGACCCCCAGTGCTGATTCTAGTATCAAGCCAGACAAGCGAAGGTCGTAACGAAAGAGGCACAGTGGATCTGTCTTGAAAGCGCTCTGCCGGGACATTCCAACCCAGTGAAGCGCTTCTGACCGCGAAGGAGGTGCGATACTCAGGTGTTCGAATATGAGACGAAAAACACCGAAATACAAATCCAATCGCGTTCTGACCCTGCTGGTTATATCAAGCAGAGTACGAATGCTCGGGCTGCCACAGCGCTTCTGACGGAAGGAGGAAGTGACTGTTCTGTGGCTGCAGGACATCTGATAAAGAAATAGGGAAGTCGCCTCAAGGAGCTTGCAAGGAGGAGTCATATAGCAGCCATTTTGGGGAAATCTCAGAGGAACCAAAATGAAGAGCTCAACTATGACATCTAGTGAACCAAGGCTATATAAGCCACTAAATGATCAGCTGGAGGAGCTGAGCAAAGCCATCCACATGTCTTGTTCAAGAACAACTAAAGCAGCAGATAAAGAATTTCTGTATCTCCACATTCCTGGTGACCCCAACGTGACAAATTTATAAGGCTTGGTTTACACTTCTTGATCATTTTATACGCTTTTAATTTAAAGTAGGCTTGCACATGACAGCTCAGCTTTGCTCTTTAAAGTGTTTGTTAAACAGTTCTTTCAAGTAAAACTCTCTTCTCCTTATCCTATTATTCTTGTATTAAGTATATGCATCCTCTCCAAATTCAATAGTTTTCTTACACCCCAACTGCAGACATACACCATGACACCCCACACACACACACACACACACACACACACACACACACACACACACACACGTATATTTCTTCAATTTCAGTTAAAACCATCATCATAATATCTGGCCCACTATATCTGACTTGTGACTTATCGTTCTACAGCAACCCAAAAATGTACATACTGCAATTTAATCAGCAGTGTGTTAGACTAATGTGTCCTGATACATATTGTTAGATTGTTTTTATCATTGAAAGATTTATGGCTCAGCCATAAACCAAAAATCACAGGCCACAAAGAATGAACATCTTGCTTAAGGAATCTTTTGCTTATTGCAGACTAGACACAGTCCTGCCTGTTCACATTTTATTCTGTAAAAACTAAATTTTCACTGCTTTTATGACCTTTTTAGTGGGGAGAACATAGCTAGGATTTAATGATTTAACAAATCTTTTGAATCCTTTGTCCTCCACAATGCTAAATGGCTGGGAGTCCTCAATCACCATGCTAACCAGGTCTTCATCTATTTGAGATTGTTCTCCTGAGGAAAGACAATAAAGACACAAAGCTCAGTATTCTAAAAATTTTCACTGCTTTTATGACCTTTTTAGTGGGGAGAACATAGCTAGGATTTAATGATTTAACAAATCTTTTAAATCCTTTGTCCTCCACAATGCTAAATGGCTGGGAGTCCTCAATCACCATGCTAACCAGGTCTTCATCTATTTGAGATTGTTCTCCTGAGGAAAGACAATAAAGACAAAGCACAAATATAAATATCACACACGTAACTTATTACAGTTGTATAATATTGTTATATCATTTAGTAACATTACTGCATGCTATATTATCATGGCAT